TATATATTTATACTGGGTAAGGAAACAGAAGTTTAGTCTCTCCTAGTCACAAACTCATTCTCTCTACTCACAACATTTGATTTTTAGAACAGCACACATCACCATCACAGCTCTAGTGAGAAGCTATTTATAGGATTTGATCATCAGGTGACATGCCCACTTACCGTGGTCACTGTCATCTGACGTGACTTCATGATTGGTCGCAGTCAAGTTTTCTGTATTCCTTAGTTTTAGAAAACCCAAAATCTTCAGGAATGGCTCAATATCAAAATGTATGTCTATCTTTTTGTACAATCTCACTTCAATAAAAAAAAAAAAAAGAAAAAGAAAAAAGAAAAAACCTCCCCAAATTTGGTTCAATTCTGTTTGTTCTGAGCTGAGCCATCACAGCTGCACTAGAATTCATAAAACACGTGCAACTCTGGGTAAAATATTTTCTTCTAAAAGCACAACCACTTTACAAGATTAAAAGTCTAGTACATTTCTAAATATTATTCATATTGTACAAGTAGTGGTTGTTAATTTAAAACTTCATTAGTAAAATTACAGTACAAGCATGATTAACCTCCAGAATTGCAAATCCCAGACTCCAGTGGAAAGCTACATTACATCTTCAGTAGTATATTATCTTCCACTTTATTCCCAAACCAGTGGAGATGGCGGCATCTCAGATGGTTGAGCAACCGTGGAACTAGAATGCAGGTGATACAGAAAATCAGTGTTCATTTGCAATAGCTAATAGACAAGAAAGTTAATGCTCAACCAGTAAGCAAACATTTCAAGGAAAACAGAAAAACCCCATCAAAACCAAACCAACACCACCCAAAACACCCCAGGACCAACAGTTAACAACACTGACAACAAGTATTTCGCTATACTTCATCTACTTATTTTCTTAACCATTCTTCTTCTATCAGTCATTAATTTTAATGTTTTTACAGTGGAATTCTACAATCAGAATTCAACTTGTCAGTCTTTCAGTTCTAATTTTTAGTCTGACTTCTGTACTTTTACACAAAAATATTACTTGAAACTTTTGCACATTTTACTTAAATTCTAAAAGAATTCATTAAAGTATTTTTAAAATGTAACCTTACATGTCCTTAAGGTATTTTTTTTCAGAAGTTATCTATGGGCCTCTCCTACTCTCAGAAACTTCAAACATACAAACATATTGGATGTGTGAATTCTGTACTACTAATAAATGTGAATTAATATCAGATGTGATTACATACAGTTACCTAATAAAGCTCTTAAAAGCAGCAGACTGAGGGTTGATGCAGAGAGGCACTCTGTTTCCTTTCTGCTGTTCCAAAATGAACTGATGAATTATTTCTGTACATAGAGGAAAAATAAAAAACACCATACCATTAACACTTTTTGCTTCAGAAAATGCAATGTAGACTGGAGGAAAATACAGCTTCCTTTACTGAAAGTACGTTTTAGTAAGGATAAAAGAACTCCAGCTTCCCTAAATCTAATCTGATGCCATACCTCATAGCATAAATTCACACAGAACTCTTATATGCGCAGTGAAATAAATGTATATAAAATAAAACGCTAATCACCACTAAAATACCGAACTGATGATAACCAGTTATAGATTAAATCCCAATTTTAGGGTGTAACTTTTTGAAAAATAAAGAATTTTCAACTTGAACTTGATTTGCAAATAACAAGAACACAGTTCTATTACTCAGTCCAGTTTGATTCATGAATTCAGTTACTACCACCAAGCACAAAACTGCCACTTGAGATCATTAAAACAAAAAAGTACATTTTTTTTGTTGTTGCCAGACAAAACATCTTCTCATACACATGGGTGCACAAACCCCCCGAAAAACAGAGCCTGGACGGTTTGGCAATGGGCTGCTCCTCTATAAGCAGCAGCGAGGGTTGCCAGCACAGAGCTCCATACGCCCGGATGGTACGTTAGAGGCAACGTGCTGGAGTCTGCATTGCTGACAGCAAACTTTAAAGGCAGCTTTTAGAACAACACATTTCAGAGAAGACAGCAGATCTATGTACAGCTCTGAACAGTGATGGGCAAAGAGAGGAGAGAAAGGGAAAGAATAACAGGATAAAAAGAAAACAATGCTACGTGAACTTGTAGGAACTACGAATGTGAATTTCAGATTTACAAGTTCAGGATTTATCTGAAGTAAGTAACATTATCATGGCAACATCATGGAGTATTTTTGTCCCAAATGACTGAATTGTTTGTTAGAAACTGCTGAGGTAACACATTTCTTCTCCCTCTCTTCCTCTTGAGTTACTCGAGCTGCCACCAAACAGGACCTAAATCCCTACTCCTATTTCTCATATTGTATTGCTCTCATAAAAGGACTGCTCTCCTGATCGGATCTGATTTCAAAAGAAACAAAGTCTACTTTATGGCTTGTTTGCTATGATGGAATCAGACTTCAAATCTCTAGTGCCACAAAGCAACTGCTGGCATTTAGTAACCATCTGCAGCAGTAGTTTCCTCTCCCAGGCATCAGGATTGATTTTCCTCATGACAGCATGTCACGACCCGGAGCGCATCCTCTGCATTACTGCCAGAACCACAGCGTGGCTCCAGCAACAGAGCTTATGACAGCAGCTGCTGTAAAGGCACTTGGCATGGACATTTCAGCGCGAGCAGACTGTGATAGATTAGAGGAAATGAAGCAGGAGAACTATGAGACTACGCAGCTTCAGTTACTTGATGATGCTGACCCTTTCTGCAGGACAGCTATCAGGATAACGCCTCGCATCCCGAAAAGGCAAGAATAGTGATTTTCCTTTCCCCTCGGTGCAATCCTTCAACAAGAGTGGCATGGGGAGCACTGACATCAGAGAAGAACGCTATTAAGGTTTGAAACCAATAGACTTCTGCATGTCAAGTAACACATGTGGTATTATATTATGTCAGAACATTTACAAGCAATTCTGTTCTTTTAGTGAAAAGAAATTATTTCCAGTATCTACCGTGGAAAAACACGTAAAAGAAAAAACCACCTGGGTTAGTATATGCATCCAGATTGCACATTCTAACTACGTACTACTAATGGATGGAGCAGGAAGATAAATGCAGATGCAAAGGTTAATTACTACTTACCTTTAACCTGCCGAACAGAACTGAGGTTCTTTTCAAAAGTGTCATCAAATTTGGGATTAGTGATGGGTTCAAAATCACTAGTGTAAACTCTTCCAGTAGATGTGGAAAAACAACATTTACACATACAAGTGTGGTATCGCAACCGCCCTTCATCAAGATATGGGTGAGCTAAGGCATCCTTAGCAGATATTCTTTTGGACTGAAATATTGCATTTAAAGAAATTAAAAAAAAAAAAAAAAAAGAAAAAGAAAAAAAAAGAGTTAGGATATTTTCAGAGGTATTGAAACAGTCTAAAGAATACTTACTCATCTATTAATTCTAAATTGTTTTATAAACACCTAATCATGTTAAAGGATTAGTTCAGGTCAGAAATGTTTTAGATCTGCAAACACTGCCACTAGGGGGAAGATTTTACTTAAAAACAAGCAGCATTGCTAAGATGACATTGACCTTTCTGTACTATAGCTAATGATAGAAAATGCTGCTAATACAATTTTTAGAAATATATTTTTCAGTAATTACTTTCTCCAGATAACCTTAAAATTATGACTCCTACAATAAATCAAAATAAGCCCAAAGAATTTAATGTTAGCAAATACGGCATTTTGTAGGTCCATATTCTGCAAAACATTTTAATGGGTCCTTAAGTACGTATTTGAAGTAAAACACAAATTTAAGCATCACTGATAACAGAATAATCCAGGATATGGCATCTGGAGTTCTGAGAAATACTTTACACATCAAGTTTCAGAAAACAAGTGGTGAGGAAGTGCAGGGAACGAGGTGGTCCGAGCAATGATTCAAATTATAAAGTCTACTTCCACATTACTAAGACTTTTTTTATGCATAACTCAAGTAAAGTACTCAGTCCCTAGGTGTCCAACACCATCCCATCAAAAAAGAATACTATCTGTTTCTAAAAAATTGCAGACAGAAGTGCTACTGCAAATTCAAGCTGTAATGAAATCCATTGTTATAGGTGAATTAAAAAAACAAAAACAAAACACAAACAAACAGAACAAAAGTTACTTGCTCAAAGTTACAGAGCAAAACCAGTGGCAGAAGTACAACCCAATTGTCCCAATTCCCAGGATATTTTTTAGATAAAATTAAAATCACCTGTTCTAAAGGATTGTCCTGATTTTTTAGAAAAACAAACCCACATTTATTTAAATGTGATTTGGGAATAATAGCATTCTGAGTGTTGAGGGAGTTAGAAAGGAAAAAAATTAAGTCTGCTTACGTGGAAGTTAAGATTTAACACTTCTATGTTTTTGTTTAGTAAAGCAATCTTAAGGTTTAAAAAAATAAAATAAAAAGGTACTGCCTTCTGAATATTTTTTCCTCCTTTGCAGTTCAGTCAATTTGTCTATTTTTCATCTGAAATGTTAGGGATTTTCCTGTGAAGATGAAGTAACTAAGATCATCGATTCAGGCATCAGATTTTCTAGTGACAATTTTGTATAATAAGCCCAAAAGATGAAATCCAAAATCCACAGCAGCAAATTTTTATTAGAAAAACAGATGCTCAGTGGAAAAACAGATCCTGTTATGTGACTGTGGATGTAGAAGGAATTTTTTGTGTGCAAGACTAGGAACACCCACGCGTCTCTAATTAGAACTGCATCAAAGGATCTGATGTTCTACTACCTACACCTAGCTAGGAAAAGATAGCATGATTCATGAACACCCTCATCTTTCTCACTCTATCGTAGCTTTCTTCAAAAGACCACTAGATTTTAAATGCGAAACCCCCATTCCAGGGGGAAATTAATTGACCAATTATAAGATGATACTTTTACGTCTTTTACAGACCCAGAAGTACTGAAATGCAATGTAGAAGAAAATCAGTTAAAGCAGTCCTTTACTTAAAATATTAATTTAAGTAGCAGACAACAAAAACTGGTAAAACAAGAAGTATTAGAAATAATTTTAAATCATACTTACTGGATCAAAGACCAACATTCTGCAAAGAAGATGAACTGCTTCATGTGTAGCTTGACTGGAAAGTGTATACAGGACAGGAAGGGATGGCTGTAGGGACACAGGAGAAAGGAAAGTACAGATACTTGTCCTGTCAGATCCACCAGCGAGAAAACACTGTTACAGCACGCGTTATCTTGTAGTTACCAAGGACAAACTTCTTGTTAAAAAGGACATGCACTACCTAACGCTTTCCAACAAGACAATAATCACTATTACAAAACTCGGCAGTTGTAACAGAGATCTAATTGATTTTTTTTTTCCTTAGTTCAGATGTAAACCCTGGACAAACATATATTTTATTTATTTATTTTTCTATACAGACACCACTTTAAGCTGTAGCTGCTCAGGGGTTTGATTAACCACATCATTTCCAGTATTCCATTTTTCTGATCTCAGTCACTGCCAGATTACGGATTATTTTGCTTTTCCTTACCCAGGCGATCCATATCTAACTGACAGTGACATCTAGTACAATTAAAATGACCTTCAGGCATACAGCATTTTACATGGAGATAAATAGGCCAACTACCGAGGCTTGAAGGACTGGGGGAGGGGGAAGGGGGTTCAGCGAACCCCCCTGTTTTATAGTGCGGTACTCGGGGCATGAACCGCGTGGTTAGAAAAAGCTGGAACAGCCCAGTTACCAGGCAGCAGTGCAATTCTTGCTCTGGTTAGCCCCACAAAAAACAGCTCTGCAGATCATTTTCCTCCTGTATTTCCCCGTTTTGCTCACACTCACAAGCCTGCCCATTCTGAGAGTTCCCAGTTTTAGTTGAGAGTGAAAAAACCTTAAGGTAGAAATACCCTAGAAAAGACAGATTTTAAAGACTGGGGGCATCCAGCCCGTTCTGGGAGTACGAGCACATAACCTTCCTTACAGCTACGGATCTGGAGGCAAGCACAAATCCCCCAGCATCGCGTGCTGCAGAGTACAGGGATGATACAGCTGCGGGTACAAAGACAACTGTTTCTCCAGTCTCAGCAACGCCGTTGGGCCCTGCCAGTTCAACAAGCAGATAATATTTTAACAAGATTTTACTCAACATATAAAGTTGCCATCTGACAACTTTTAACTGCACATACTCTCTAGCCTGAAAGTCTGCTTTGACTGGAATTAAATGTTAACACTAAGGTAGCAAAATGCGAAGACAACCCCCTTTCCCACGTTCCTAACATGTGGAAGAAGTACTGCCTGAAGTTGCCCAAAATGAAAAAAATTAATCAACAATAATGTTAATGTTATATGCCATTCATTTTAAAGCATTAGCTATATCCTAGACTCTTTGGAATGAGCTTCAAAGATTTTTTTTTAAAGCCACAACAATGTCAGTTTCCAAAATCAAGTAAAATATTTTCCTGCTTAATTGACATTATTCCTATTTAGCTTAAAGAATGGCAGTAGAGTACACTATAGTTAGTCTTCAAAGTAAATGAAGTGTTGCAAAACAAGTGAACATTTACTCCTCTAAAGTGAAGGGGGGGAGGGGAAAAAAAAAAATGAGTAAGATGGGGGAAAGGAAGTCTCAATTTTCACACTTAGAAGAAAGCAAAATCACAAACGTCTTGAAAAAAGAAACCAAAACCCCCAACCAAAGAAACAACCAAAGAAAAAAAGAACCCCATAGCTATTAGGCCAGGCACTGCTGCAAAGAAAATTCCTACTATGGAGTGTGTTACTTCCAAGTCCAATACTCCAACATTTCCTTTTTTTTTTTTTTAAAAGGAAATAAACCATTGCATACACGCGCAGCCACACACACATACCTTTGTATTCTTCCCATGAAAATTCAAATAGCATTCATATTAACTAGTGGATGCAGGTGTTGGGAAGAGCCATTAAGGCAGTAAGAACTATACAGAGTGCTTCACTAGCGTGTGTAATTACTATTGAAATGAGGGAAGAATATACTAGCCAGCTGAGAGAAATGACTAAAACGTTCTGCCTAAAATGTAACAAATCAATTGAAAGCTAGCTAGTATATTTATGAGACAATATTCACTGACAAACTTTGCATGGATCCACAGGATTTCCAGAGCTGCATTAACTCTACACAGACTTTTAACTGGTATGCAATGCTAATATTTGGCAGGCATCTGTTGCTTCTACCTGTTTAGCAAAGCAAATGGATATAAGTTACTTAGTTGCTGTAAATTTGTCAGTATATATAAAAATTACACCTCCACAGTGACATCATTCCAAGTTAACCGTGAACTACCAAATACAGCACTAAGCACTTCTCAGCCTTAGTCTCCAAGTGCAGTCTATAGAATATAAAGCTATAATATTTGGTAACTTCATACGATTTTTCTAATTAGTAAGTACCATCTACACAAAAAAGCACTGTCATCCAAGCACTGTAACTGAGTAGGTTTCATCCATATACCGGGGCAGAAAAATATGATTACATTCCTTACTTAAGGAAGCTGTTGCATCCAATACAAATGAAGGATGCACTTTTTTTGCCACACTTATGCCCCTTGTCTGCAGCTTGTCTGCCATTCCGAGAGCTCCTGGTTATATACAGCTTTTGGGGACAGCACTTTCTCGGCAAACTGCAATCAAGTCCACAGGTAGAGATCAGAAATAGTCCTGACAAGAGTACTAGCAAGGGCGGAGGAAATTGGTAAAAACTGAATTGCTGTAAGATTTGATTATCATGGAATCAACAGTCAGGTCTTTTAGCAAGTAAGGTGCATCATCCTGGATCTCTCTCTTCCATAACAGAGAATGCAAGGACCACAACAGGGAGGGAATGAACTCCAACATGTTTTACTCTTGGAAGTGGGTCAGCACATGACTGCCCGTGAAGTCCAAACCACCGCTTATGGCATGCTGTGAATGTGGG